TTTTTACATGTATATTCATCTTTGAATCGATAGAAGTGCTCGACAGCACAGTGGGAAGCAGTTTCAGAAATTAGTGGGGAGAAAAAGGCAAGAATGCCCGGCTCCTTATGTTTTTTCCACTACAGGTACTGAAGTGTTTTAAGGACAATGGTCACTGATTTTCAAAACAGTCGATACAATGAAGGAAAATTGAGTTTAAAAATGATTGTTGAGTCCCTATTCATAAAGAAGTAAAGTAACCATTCGCTCGAATGTTTCTCTTAATGCGAGACGAGCACAAGGTCGGGTGCAAGGAGAAGACGGAGAAGTGGTACTTAAGGGTTTTACTGAAAGAGAAAGGTCCTCTCAGGCTTTGCCGCTCCACAGTCTTGACCCGAGGGGGAAGGTTATTTCATCGGGGAGCCACGATGGTGCAGAAATGGGAGCCGGGTGACTGATAGCAAGGTTGCAGAAGTGGGAATGCTAATCATCGTCAAACAGCCGAGCACATGGCACAGTGTAATCTGATTTAGATATTGACATTGTTGGGGTATTTCCCAGCCATCCTCCCTACTCAAATGCACCATATTTCACCATCCTATTTAATCGACTTGTTTTTGTCAACACCGTTTAATGGTCTAATCTGACTTCTTCAGAACAATCGAGTTAAACTGGACAGTGCCAGGAATCATAATCTGTTTTTATTGGATAAACACAGTAGAGGAATGTGGCCGGCAGCTTGTTGAAAACGGACAGTGTGTTGATAAATAAGGTAGCCTGTCTTTGCCTTATAAGGTTTTATAAATGCTATAGTTTATTCCTACATGATTTAGATGTATTTGGACAACTCTTCTGCACTCTAGCTACCACTTCACCTACACCTGTGTACGCCTCTGCAGTGTACCCGAACCGTCTGTTTAGCTTAGGCTCAAGCATCAACACACATAACTTACTGTAGATGCCATTCAAACTAAAGGCCTAATGTGGAAGGGAAGGCAGCATGACTGCTATGGGACGACTACAGATAGGGGGGAAACCATGTGATGACGAAGTGTAGTTTGGCAGAAAGGCAGACCAGCTGTACAAACCCATTTTTCAGGTGTGTGGGATTAGCTCGGTCCGCTCTGCCCTCCTAAACAGAAAGACGACGGTTATGTCCAGCTGCCACTGTGGCGGTTGGTGGCCCTATCCTACCCATTCACCGCGTTGAGTAATTAGGCTCTAGCTTCATTATATAAACAATTTGCCGAGCTATTTTGGGAGGCTATATCGCCCGTGCGAGTCTCATTTTCTCAATTTATCTCAAGCCGCTGGTGCACAAATAAAATATGGTAATGACCTGCATCCCGATCACCCTAAATCAAATGCAGTTAATCTTCAAAACTGAAAGGAAATGTGTCATGATTGATGTGAAATTTGTCATTATTGTTGTATCTGTACTTTAACTGGAGTAACGGCCTCCTCAAGTGGATTGTTCAGAATCCACAGGCTTTGTTCTTGACATTCACGGCCCCATATGGAAAACAGTTTAATACCACTTTATTGCAGCCCCCAAACCGCTTTCCTATTTTGTCTCCAGACATTGTTTGGCTCTTTGTAAAACATAATTGTGTCAACAGTCACTGGAGACGAGACACCAGACCTCTCGATAAGTGCTTTCCCACAAGGTAAATTTGGCAGGTGGGATGGGAGCAAACATGCAAACAAACCAGCAGACAGTAATTTTCCTCTGTCTGTTAACATGCATTTTAATGAAGTAGATGGATTAATGCCTCACTTTCAGTAATGGGCCACTCGGAGAGCACCGGCGAAGCCTGTTCTGCTCGATCAGCGCCCAGCTTATCGCATCAGTAATGCTCACTCGCAAGTCCTGATCTCTCTGTTTCCACATGGTTTTTTTTGGAATGTCTTTGTCTTTATTGGCCCTTTTTTTTCTAACGGAAAGCAGTAAAGCCCCACGGAAACACCGTAGTTCTGAGATAAAATGGTCAAAAACCTCAGCTCTCAACTGTTGTTGCTGACTGCCAGATAATGATTAAGCTGCAGGGGTAGACATTTAGCACGACTAGTTTGGAATACATGTTGTTGAGTGTGGTAAGTGTGTGTGTGTGTTTGCATATGTTTGACACAGCTGAGTTGTTTTTAGTGTGAGTGGAACTCATTGTATGTCGGTGCATTTATGCACATGAACAAGCTCTTTCTTGTCTATCTTGGAACAAATCTCTCTGTCTGTGTAGACTTGGTCTTTGGAGGTTGTTTCAGGTGTCCAAGCAAAATGTTTTATCTATTCTAAAATCCACTGTCGAAGAAGTGTAGAAATGAGTTGGCTTTGGGAATTAATTATGTATTGTCCTACATCATCAATATGTGATGTACAGAGTTTTTATTTTCACACACATATATATATTTTATTTTATTTTTTTTAATTATACCCAAATGCATCCCCCTCCAGATGTTAGAGAGCCTGCCACACTTTTTAATTTGCTATATTCAAAAGTGAGGACAGCATTTAGCACAAAAAATACATCTCATTAAAAACCCAGCATAAGTTGGGACTGAATTACAATCTGTTGCTGCTGCTGCTGCTGTTGGACATATTGGGGTCGGTATCCTCTCCAGTGGATTGCATCATGTGATTTCTCACCGACTGATGAGTCTCGAATGAAGTTGTTTCTCTTTGATTTTAATTTTCTGACACCAAAACCCGATATTTATCTTTTTTTCATTCTATCAACTGATTTTGTTGCAGCCCAGGGAAACTGACGTTATAGTGTGTGTGTGTGTGTGTGTGTGTGTGTGTTATCACGTCTAATAGGAAATACCTCACATCAACAACATGGGCCCTGAAAGATGAATCACCACTAGCTGCTTTAAACTGTGCTAAACCATCTCTGACACCATTGCTTGACCGGATGAATCGACCATCAATGTTTCGTTTTAAAATCTATTACTAGTGTATTTAGAGTTGCTTGATGGACCCTGCCACTCTCGACCTCTTTGATCAGTGTCCTCCTCCGAGGCTCTAATGTGGACAGACACAATGGACCCACTACCTCCTCTCTTCTTCAGTGAAGGGTCTGCGAAGGTAATGCCTTTGGTTTTCAGCATTTATCCTCTTTCATATCCTGCATTTTCTTTCTGGTCTTGTTCTTTAATAGTTTAACTCAGTCACTCACACACACACACACACTCGTGGTGTGGAGGTGGTTCCACCTGTGAGCTGAACATCCCTGTAAAGTGTGTCTTCCCTCTTGGTTATAGCCTCCCTATTGTCTCCTGGCTTTGTGTGCAGGGGCTTTTAGTTTGAGCCTGGCTGGAATCGGCCTGTTTACTGTGATTAAATGGGAGCAGAGGAGGTTGGGGGAGTGAACCGTGACTCTCTTTAGAGTGAAGGAATGCAGTGCACACTGCAGTACCGTAGCTCTTCATCAACCTTTCCTGGGACTCAAAGCATCCCAATCACTTTACAACATATGTGTAATATTTGTTATCCTTTTCATATGTTTATGCTGCTCATAATTATGTTTAACTCTCATCTAAAATCTGTATGCTGTGACTCTATCTAACTTCATTTCTACATTTTCTCTATAGTGATTAATGCATTAATTAACAATTCAGAGCATATGGAGCTGTTAACGGCACCTGAAAACCTTGTAGAAGTTTGATCGATCAGCTGCTAAACATAGTATTTAGCTCTGCATATGAAAAATGTTCCTTTGAACAAGAGGTCGATTGATAGTGGATTTGTACAGGCTGATATAGTAACGATGCTCTGGAACAAGTAAAAGACGAATAATCGGCCGACACCCCCGAAGCTTGCCTGTCTTGTACAAAGAGTTATAGTATCAAGTTATATATTCGGGAGAAATATACTTGACATGAATACCGCTAGTCTGCAAATGTTTAGCCCACATTTTCTACCCGTATCACCGGTAAAAAAAACATAATAAATATCTAAAACCTAATTAAGTCTGTTGTCGTTCCCTTGGTCTCGATGCACCAATTTTGTCTAACAGTTGTTTCGATTATTATCAGGAGTTAATCACATCCAGACTCTCATTCTGTGTATCAAGGCTCTGTGCAAAACAGTGGTGCATGTCTTCGTGTGAGTGGCAGCTGTGCAGCCATCGGCCATTTTCCACAGTTAACGGTAGTTTGTAAAACGTGTTATCTTCGCTGAATAATTGCTCGACCTCTACATTGGACTCATGTTTTTCTTAGTCTAGATTGGGGTTGCAACAAACATGTTTTTCCACTACTTATTAATAATTTGTTTATTTTTTTAAATTGAATAATCAATCTACAAACACCCCAAACAATTCTCTCATATCAATTCATCTGCTAATTGTTTTAAACTCTTGTGTAGACTCACAACATCAAGTCGTCTTCCCTCTGAAGCTGCTCAGCTTCTATGTGGAGTGCTGTTCTTTGCTCCGATAACGTATTCTTTGAGGTGAAGCGAGTACCTGCTCACCGCTCCATTAATGACCTTGATTACACAGCGGCAATAACTGGACGGAGCACAGAGGATTATGGGTCACGTGTCGGGTTTCCCACAGGGCAATGCGTAAGTTGGTGTGGCACTACCGGGAGATGGAGAGGGTTATTGGGAATGGAAATGGAATTCTCTAATTGTGAGAACACTTTTCACTGGCTAGTGCAGCCCATTAGCCTCACTTGGCACCACAGAATGCGGAGAAAAATGATTTGCAGCCGCAAGGATGGGGAGAGATTTGTTAACCTCATAGGACCTACGTGAAAGTTTGCTGTAGAGCGAAAAGGAAAATCTAAATATTCAGGCTTAACACAAGGCTTTCTATTACTCAGTTAAAATGATGCTTCTAAAATCTTTGATTTACTCAACCATTCTGTGTTTGTGACGTAGTAGTTTAGTAGTAGAGAACGAGCACGATCAGACTCGTTTCATTCTTCATTGAAGCTTTATCAGAGGTAGAGATGTAATCAGATTACAGATTTAAATGTCCTAATGTGATAACTGATCTTATCTCTTGATCTTTCAGGTATTTGGTGATTATTATCACTTCCGGCATCGTACGGTGGTGAAGAGATCGCTGTCGGATCACAGGGGGACACAAGTCCGTCTTCAAAAAGATCCCAAGGTAAGGTGTGTGTGTGTGTGTGTGTGTGTGTGTGTGTGTGTGTGTGTGTGTG